AAAAAAAAAAAAAATGAAAAAAAAATTTTTGTGGTTTTTTTATGCTTTAGAGTCCGTTTGGTATTGCCCTTTGCTGCGGCTGCTTTGTGGCGGGGTGGATGGGTAGTAAGTATGTATATGTGTGTATGTATGTGATGTGATACATGATATATGATGTAGATATAGATATGTACATGTTTTATGTAGTTCATGAATAGGTACATATACCTTAAAGGCAGGTAAGGGGGGTTATCTAAACCGTCAGCTGACAATCCGATGACGGTCTCTTTAAAAGACGATTCTAAGAGGTTAGCATAGCTAGTGGATCACCCTAGGCCGATACTTAAAATTGAGTAGAATCTGAAAACAAACGATTTAAACTATTTAAACCGTAGCTAAAATAGAATTATTTCGATCGATTAAATCGTCTTTTTTTTTAAATACTAGTCTTTCTATATAAAAACCGTCTTGGGACCGTCTTCGAGCGTTTAAGACCGTCCTATGGCCGTCCTACAGCCGTCCTATCGCCGTCCTTGAGCATAAAACCGTCCCGGTAAGCGTAAGTTAGTAAGCAAATAATCTATTTATTTTTCTTATTGTACTACCTATTAGTCTAAGGTGTCTCTTCCCACCCCACCCTCTTTCATGAGCGTAGGGCGCACACTGCACGCACATCTCGCTCGAGTTAACTTTTGCTGAATCGATCGATTCCGATGATAAAAATTTTTAAAACGTTGAGATATAAGCCGTGGCAGCGATACCGAGAAAAATCTTGGCATCGAACTTATTAAATTATGATTAAAACGATTTTACTGAGCAGATAAATCTTATCTATAACTATATCTATTTTAAGATGGTTATCGGCGTGTTCTAGTTTTTAAAATGAGCTTATTGATAAGCCTGTTTTGAAAATATCAACGGGGACGGCTATAAGACGGCGGCTGGCTGTAAGACGGTCCTAAGCTCGGGGACGATCAAAAAGGTGTCCGTGGATTATTCTTGATTTAATAAGTAGTATTGATTTTAAATCGTTTGATAACCGTCTTTTATAAAAGAGGGTCAGAGGACCGCTCAAATGACCCCTTATCTGCCTTTAGGGTATAAATAAGTACAACAGCATCCTGCTATATGTACATAGGTACATACATACATATATATATACACACACACACACATCTCCCACGGCAAGTAGCGGGCGAGCGAGCGAGCGGGCGAACGAACGAGCGAACGAGCGAACTCTACTCCCCAAGGGGGGCCTGCAAGTCTTGAGGCTTAGGATACATACATACATACATACACATACACATACACATACACATATATATACGTATACCTACCTAGGTACCTACCTACCTACCTAGGTTTGTATGTATGCTTGCTTGCTTGTTTGTTTATTCATCTTTGTTTTTTTTNTTTTTTTCCGTCTACCGGTATTCGTACACCCCTCCACCTTTTCAACCCCGACCAGAAAATTCTTCGAGGCACGTCGTTACGTTACGGTAGGTAGGTAGGTAGGTAGGTAGGTAGGTAGGTACCGGTACTGGTAGTATAGTTGGGCTCCGTGCGGAGTCCGGACTGAGCGGAGAAGTAATCTTGAGGCGAAAAAAAAAAGATTTAAAAAAGATAAAAAAAATATATAAAAAAAAAGGGCGTGAAGGTAGGGTGGGAAGGTAGGTAGGTGGGTAGGTAGGTAGGTAGGTATGTTCGTATACTTGCACTTGATATGTTTGAGCTGGTGGGATAGCGGGATGGGGGGATGGGGTTAGGTAGGTGGGTAGGCTGAGTTCGATCGATTGCTTATACGTTGTTATTGTTGTTGTATTGATTAACGTCGGGCGGGTATTTAAAACGCAATGCTTAGACCTTAAAGACCTCTTATAAGGTACAGCGATGTGCTAAGTAAAGGAATTATATATAAAGTATTATCTAATCGAGAGTAAAAATTACGTTACGGAAAACTTTTCGTTAAATAGCTAAACACTTGTAAACCTTTTAAAAGCAATTTGTAATGCTATGCGTCGAGTTTTCTTTCGATAACTGTCGAATACGTATAGCTTTACGAGCGGCTTCGATCCGTATAATATTAATATCGTTTTCTTTTGTCGTAAAGTTAAAAAAGCTCGCGTTCGTAGCTTTTAAATAAAGCCGATGTGTTTGCAAAACGCTTTTTCGAAAGCGCAACACCGTGTTTTCGATCAATCGAACTAAGCCTTTCTATCTTATCTCTTATATACGTTCCCTTTCTATCGCAAATCCTAGTCTTTTCAGTCGGTATGCTCGTTAAGTATAGATCGTAGTCAGCGTAGTATTCGAAAAGAAAGAGAAAGGAGGTTCGGAATCGCTAGTAAAAGAAAATCTCTTCGAAGAGACGTCGTATATCGATAATTCAATTTCGGTTTTCTAGACTCTTTATCTCTCTTTTTACCGCAGGAGAAAGAAAGAAAAAGAGCTGAAGGTTCGTAAGGAGCACCTCGTACAGGTAAAGAATCGTAGCCCCTCGGACGGCCATGGGACGGTCTTAAAACGCTCGAAGACGGTCTTAAGATGATGGTTTTTATACGAAAAGACGAGTATTTAAAAAAAAAAGAACGATTTAATCGAATAAAATAGTTTTATTTTAGCTACGATTTAAATAATTTAGATCGTTTGTTTTCAAATTCTATTCAATCTTAAGTATAAGCTTAGGGTGATCCATTAGCTATGCTAACTTATTAAAATCGTCTTTAAAAGAGATGGTTATCGGATTGTCAGCTGACCGTCTAAATGCTCTTGCATTCCCTTTTAAGGTACACTTTCCGTATCGCGCTCGCTTATGCTGCATGCAATAAACGCCTCCCCCCCTTCCGCCAACCCCCTCTTTCCCAGGGTGGCATTATCAAGACAGCGTGCATCTAGACATGTGGGTAGGTACGGTAGGTAGGTACCTACCGGTACGACTACAGTATGTTTGATTTAGGCTCATCTCTCTCCCGCTATCTTTCTCTGCCCCGTCCCCCGGGCCTTTCATCCAACTACCGGTACCGTACCTAGGTACCCCTCTGTCCCCCACCTATGATGGACGGACGGACGGATGGATGGGTGAGTGGGATTCAAACGATCGAGAACGCTGTTAGCTGGCTGCATGCGGAGCATGTTGCGCGTCTCCGGCACGATTTCGAGCTCGCAGATAGGCCGGAGCCCCGATGGGATTTTATTCGTGAGGTATGTAGGGGGGTACCGGTAGGGTAGGTTGTCTCGTCTGCGCCGTCGATGGTTCTGAGATTGTGAGACGGTTTGGATCCTTTTGTTTGCCTCGCCACATCTCGTTTCGAAGTTTCGATTCTTGGTTCTCGATTCTCGATTCTCCTTCTTCTCTGCCTGTCCATATCTCCGTGCTGGAGTTTGCCATCCAGCATGACATCCTCGAAAGCCAGCCACCACCACCACCACCACCACCACCAGCAGCTGGTCCTGGGCTACGACACCACCCACCCCTTCTCGAGCATCGACATCGGCACCCGGGAGTCGGTGCAAGCGCTGCTGAAGACCGTGCTGGACCCGCTGCTGGGGCACTTCTCGCCGCTGAAGGCGCGGGTCCGGGTGCCTGGGGGGACGGCGGTGCGGTTCGACCAGGCGGCGGCGGAGGTCGAGGGCGTGTGGAGGCCGGCGTGGGGGCTGGCTGCGTTGCTGGCGGGTGGGGGGACGTATGAGGGGACGGAGTTCTGGGTGGAGGCTGTCAAGCAAGGTATGTCACGTATGCTTTGATGAAGGGGGGGGGGGGGGTTACAAGATGGATGGGGTTGACGCGTGTTGATGGGATGGGAGATAGGCACGAATCCTGACAGTCCCGAGTACTGGGGTGATCCAAGGGATAATGATCAGAGGATGGTCGAGATGTGCCCGATGGGCTTCACTCTGGCTGTGGCGCCTGTCTTCTGGGAGAGCCTGAGTGAGAAGGAGAGGCGCAACGTGGAGAATTGGTTGGGGAACAGTATCAATGAGAAGAAGTGAGTTGTGCCGGAGCTGCTGGGAGATGGAGCTAATCTTGAGCAGCATGCCGAATACCAATTGTTTGTGATTCAAATTATGTGTCAAGCACGGTTTCCATGTGAAACTAGGCCGCTAGATGTTGATTCTCGCTAAGAGTTAGTTGTCGGGAATTCTGCTGATGTGCTTTTTAGGGCTCTGGTTCCGGGTGTTTGCCAACCTCGGACTGAAGAAAAATGGCGGCAAGTATTCCCAGGAAAAGATCGAGCAGGATATCATCCACCTGAATTCGTTCTACCGCGGAGAAGGCTGGTCCAACGACGGGCCAGTTGGGGTTTGGCAACAGGACTACTACAGTGGAAGCTTCGCCATCCAGTTCCTACAGCTCCTCTACGCGAAGTTGGCCGGTGAAGATGACCCGGCCAAAGCTGCTGAGTTCAAGAAGAGAGCGCAACATTACGCCTTGGACTTCATTCATTATTTTGACGAGGAGGGCAGAGCGACGCCCTTTGGCCGCAGCGTTGGCTATCGATTTGCCATGGCTTCGTTCTGGGGCGCCCTCGCGTATGCAGATGTCGAACTTCCAGCACCTCTCACATGGGGCATGGTGAAGGGTCTTCTTCTCCGAAATCTCCGGTACTGGCAGACGCAGCCCGACATCTGGAGCGCCACGGGTACACTGACTGTTGGGTATGCCTTCCCCAACATGTACATGGCCGAAAACTACAACTCGCCGCAGAGTCCGATGTGGGCCTGTCTTGCATTCATATGTTTGGCTGTCCCTCAGGACCATCCATTCTGGACGTCGGCGGAAGAGCCCTATCCTTCTGACCTGCTACCCAAGGTCAAGGCGCTGAAACACCCTGGACACATCATCAGCTATCTGGGAGGACATCGCATGATTCTCTCGTCCGGCCAGGCGTGCAGCTACCCGATGAAGGGAACTCATGCAAAATACGGCGCCTTCGCATACAGCAGCGCGTATGGCTACTCCGTACCCACGGGATGTTACACCCTCGAGCAATTCGCGCTCGCGTCACAACTGGGACTCTCTGACGACGGCGGCGACATCTGGAAGACCCGTCGCGTCTGCGAAGAAGCGGTCATCGAAACGCACGAGGAGCAGCCCGTCCTGAGATCGATCTGGAGGCCGTTTCCCGACGTCCGGATCACGACCTACCTCCTCCCGCCCGTCGAAGCAACTCCGAACTGGCATCTCCGCGTCCACCAGATCGAGGCCGGGCGCGAAGTCATGACCGCCGACGGCGCATTCGCCATCTACAACGCAACCGCGCCCCACGGCCGATACCTCGGCCTCTACCACCCCCAGACCCACGAGGGCACGCTGCCCCGGATCATTGGCAACTACGATCTCCACACCCCCGAGGGAAGCTCGCCGGGCGCGGTGGGTGCGTTTGCCGTCTCGAAGGGGGCGGTGGGCATCGTGGCGCTGGAAGCCTCGGACACGGGCCGGACGGCGATGCACGTCAATGCTGATCCGAACTCGAACCTTGTGGAGAGCCGGACGGTCATCCCCACGCTGCAGCACACGATCGCGAAGGGCGAGACGGTCTGGTACGTGACGGCGATCTACGCGAAGCCGTCCGGGGCGACGGTGCGGCGGTCGAGCTATCTCGATGGGTGGGAGAGCAAGCCGGTGGTTCCCAAGTGGCTTGCGGATGAGATGTCGCGATAGATAGATGGATGGATAGATGGAGAGATTAATCATTATTCTACTACTACCACTACTACTACTACTACTACTACTACTACTACTACTACTACTACTACTACTACTACTACTTCTACTACTTCTACTACGAATGAATGTTTGATCTAGCAGCCCTTACCGAAGCAACCGCAGGGGGGCCTTCTCGCTTCCCGTCCGCACCACAATCCATCTCTCCACTTCACACACACGGTGTCCAATTGCACAAGTATCCATCGGCAAAACGTCATAACGGCTTGCCCACGCAACAGCTTAACCTCACACCTGACGAACGGTGAGGCACCACCACCTTGACAGCAGCCTCGCCGATCTGATTGATACCCATCCCATCACCAACTCTCTCTCTCGGATGAGTAAGTACCCTTTCAAGCACCCGCTCCCCCTCTCCCCCTTCCCCCTATCGAGGGGCAAGGGGACCGAGGGCAGACGAGCATGGTACGAGAAAACACGATTCAGTCATCGAATTAATTACCTAGGTTTGCAGACCGACTCGATCGGAACTCTCTGGTGGGGGCCGAGGGCTGGGCTGGGCTGGGCTGGGCCGAGGGCAGGGACGAGGGCAGGGACCTAGGTAGTAAGTATGTAGTATTTGAGGGGGAAATGGAGAAGAGCAGATGCGAAGAAGAAGAAGAGGAAATAAAACCTAATTCTGTTAGATTGGGTTTTGGAGACTGGGAGCGCAGGTGACGCCGACGACTGGTCGGCTGTGGGTGGGCTTCTGGGTTTGAGTTTTGCTTCTTTTGTTTATTTGTTTTTCTCGGTTATGTTTTCATATGGGGGGTCCTATTTCATATTTCATATATATATATATATATATATATATACACAGATACTTGGATGATATTCAAGTCTAGACTTACTGGCCCGTTGCGAACGTAACTACGGGACCCATGTCGTCCTGCTTCCAAGTGCCGCGCCGTACATGGCACGTCTTGTCGGCGTCAAGCTTTTCACCGGTTTTTCCATCAATCGCTTCGCTTGTCTTCGGAGCTTAATAAGCCACTTTCTTATTTATACTTCATCTATACTTCATCCTCCTCCTCCTCCTCCGCCGCCTCCACGCTCTCCCATGCCCCATCTTCTCCACGCGCCTGGCTGCTCTTTCAAAGGCTTGCTTACTACAGTACCGGTGCCTACCTAGGTAGTAGGTACCTACTGTACTGGTGCACATGAGCAGAATGCGGGGGCCCCAATGTCTCACTCAAACCTTGTCGTACGGATGCAGTAGAGAGTGCGAGGAATGTGCTTTGTGCTGGGAGCGATGCAATGTCTGAGTGGCTGGCTGTTGCTTACGCTTTGGTGTCACTCGATATCCTGCATTCCACATGGCTTTTATCCTTTATCCTTTGTCCTTTAGCCTTTACCCCGCCAACGGCTTATTCGTGGGTTGGCCGGGGGTGAAGGCTGATGGGCGGAGGGCTGATGGGGGGTTGCGAGTGGCTTCTTGGTGTTCATGGTGATATTATCCGGAGACTCGACCGAGGTCGACTAGGTCGGATCCGGTTCACGAGGAGAGGTAGGCCGTAACAGAGCGGGAGTCCAGACAAAGAGGGAGAGAGAGAGAGAGGGAGAGACAGAAAGAGAGAGACGACGGGGAGAGCCGATTGATTGATTCCATGGGACGCTGGTCAGGTGCATGCAGCTGCCAGCATTACCAGCTTTGCCTTGCTGCTGGCTTCTTGCTATTCCCACCTTCCCCGGGCTATATGAAGATCGATGTCCGCTGATCTGTAAGTTCGCCTTGCAGCTTGGGGATTGACCGTCTGCCTCTGCCTCTGGTATTCTGTTGTCGTACATGTCAATTTAGGTTTGCACCTTTCGGCGAAACAGCAGTCGCATCTCTGTCTGATCAGAGACTTATAGTATCTAGACAAGATACAGTGTACAGTATTTCGAGCTTGGGACTGGCAGACCCGGTTGAATCGCAATCATGGGCTTGTTACAGAAGGTTGTCAGGAATGAGGCCATGAAGACGTGAGTTATCTTCGAGTATTATTAACATTACCGAAGCTTCCTGCTGATGAAAACCTCCCACCAGTGACCCGCCGGAGATCTATGGTACAGTTCACACCTCACGCGAAAACGCTTCCACGTAGGTCGCATGCTAACTGGCAGCTCGAAGGATGGCGTATCTTTCTTTTGGGTATGTCCTGATCTCTCCCCCCTCCCAGCTCAACCAGAGAGACGTCGTGGAGAGTAGCACAGCTAACAGTCCTCAGCATTCTCAGGTACCTCGTCCCCAGACTTTGCACAACGCTCCCACCCACGGCAGATGGTGCAACGAAGATGAGATGAATCTTACTGACTTGGGAAAGCTTGCTTTGGCGGCATGTTGTTCGGATGGGGTAGGCGCTACTCCTCATGGTTTGAACTCGGTAAAAGTTCACAGACTGATATTTTGGCGACAGATATCGGCTCTATCGGTGGCATTATCGTCATGGAGGCATTCAAGGCGTACGGAATAGCTTCATCCCCAGATGCGAGCACCAACTAAAGACATACCAGGGAGTACAAGATTACCGAGGGGGTGGCTGCCAATCTGAATAGCAACAGTACGTCGAGTCTGTCCTCGGAAATTTGGAACCTTTGGCTAACAGCGGCCCAGTTGTTAGCACACTTCAAGGAGGATGCTTCTTCGGTGCCCTGGCCGCGTACTACTGTGCCGATAGGTTTGGACGACGAGTAAGGATTCACATCCTACTGTGAGTGAGGCCTTGGCTGACTCCGTATACAGCCATCACTTCTCGCCGCCGCCGCTGTCGCGACCACCGGTGTTGTCATTCAGTGTTCCACTGTGGGAAAGCTGTAAGGCTGGGGCCCTTACCCTCTCAAATCGCCACCGCCGTATTAACGAGGATCTTAGGGAGGGTCTTTACGTCGGTCGACTGGTCGCCGGTCTAGGAGTCGGTGCAGCAAGTATGCTCACCCCTCTCTATGTAAGTATATCGTCTCCATGTAACAAGCCTCCGAGTCTTCACCCCCCTGACTCTGGAGATCTCAGAGCTGACGAACATAAAAACAGGTGAGTGAGAACTCGCCTCGCGCGATTCGCGGTGGCCTTACTGGAATCTACCAGCTCTTCATCGCTACTGGTATGCGATAAACCGGTCCTGTGCTCGATGATTCCTTGATTGACACCTCCGCAGGCATCATGTTGAGTTTCTGGGTCAACTATGTAAGTACACTTGCACCTACTCCCATTTCATGTCCATGCCTCAAGCAGAAACTGACCCTCGATCAGGGCTCATACAGACAATTCGACGACCCACTGACAAACAATGCTACTTGGCAAATCCCCCTGGCTCTCCAGGCTCTTCCCGCAGTTTGCCTTCTCCTCGGCGTCTTCTTTTGCAACGAGTCGCCCAGATGGCTCGCAAGACAAGACAACTGGGAGGATGCTACGAGGGTCTTGGCCCACTCTAGGAAGTCAGTTGCCCATTACGAGCCATGTATCGGGGGCAGCCACTGACCGTGTGTGCAGTCTTCCCGCCAGCCACCCATATTTGCAGATGGAGCTCGACGAGATGCGGGACCAGCTTGAGAACGAGCGTCGCTTGATCGGCGGAGCGACCTTCTGGGACCTACAGCGCGAGATGTGGAAGATCAAGGGGAACCGGAACCGAGCCCTGATCTCCATGGGCCTCATGGTCTGCCAGCAGATGACCGGAACCAACGCCATCAACTACTATGCCCCGCTGATCTTCCAGAGCTTGGGAATCGCCGTAAGTCCAATCAATATATATATATATATATATATATATATATATA